GGGACATGGCCTGCAGCGGTTCTCATTACGCTTTCTTTGTTTCTTTTTATTTTTATATTTTCAGCTAATTACTTTTTTTTTGGGGGGGCGGGGGTGGGTTGAAACTGGTATGTTTTTAAAGGCTTTGATATGTTTAAATTTTCAAACAATCCGTATCTTACTAATCCCATCTGATTTCGATAGAAAAGGAGCTCGAGGATGATCCGCATAATTAAAACAAGAGCCATACAACCAGTTGAATTTAATTGGTCAAAAATTGAATCCCTCGGATCCGAACACATGACCCAAGTCCGAATAGGTTTTTGGAGTCTCGCCCTTCAATATTCACGCTGCTGTTCGCGAACCTCTCCGGGAGCAACTCCTCGACATTCTCGGCCCAAGCCTTGGTGTCTCTCCCAAGGGCGCATGGGTTCACGATGACCCGAGTCCTCTTCGCGATGTAATACCCGGTGACCTCGACGTCCTCCGTGGACTCGAGGGGGACCAGGAGCGAGCCCGGTGGCTACAGCCTGAAGCTCTCTTTCACCACCATGTCCAAATAATTCAGCTTCGGCAAATCCGGCTACTCGACCGTCCAACCCAACCCGACCATGGCTTTCTGCTCTTGCTGAAGGTGCTTCATCACGCGCGGGTTGCAGATCAACTCGGACAAGGCCCGCTCAATCACGATGGACAATGACTTGTATGACGTGGTGATCATGTCGAGGGCTATGGCCTTGATGTTGATGCGACCCATTATGTGAACCGGCTCATCTTACAAGCTATTAATGGTATGGCCCACGATGAAGAGAAATGTGCTTATAAAATCGCCCTTGTATTTCCAGTGGTGTCTTCCTCGTGTTCTTTTTAACAACCTCTAACACCTTGTTCATGGTGTTGCTTTATCTTTATCATTCCATGGTTTTGATCGGTCAAATTCATCATCATTGGACAGCTTATTTCCAGCACTGGTACATACATAAAAAAAAAAGTACCAGATAAAAATTGAATTAAGTTGCATAGACAGTAGAGGGAAAGAACTCAATTGTAAACTCCGTTTTTATATAGAAAGGGGTAATGTTATGATGCACCTAAGTTGACTCTCTGAAGAGAGACAGATGCAGCCTAGAACGTTTGATGGGTCTATAGTACTATGTTGTTCAGATTAGCACAACAACAATTGTCAAAATAAATGTCAAACATCAATGCCCGGTAACATGTAACAAATCTTGCGAAACTTCAAACAAGCAGGCGATAACTTGGCCTCAGGATCAAGTGCTTCGCTCTGGGCATCGACAACCCGAAGTCCTCGCTCATATCCAGCTCATTCGGCGACGTCCCCTCCGGTAACTCCCAGTCGAAACAATGCACTAATTGGGCCAAAACAAGACGAGTATTAACGAGGCCCAAGTTCATCCCTGGGCAGCCTCTCCGACCCGACCCGAACGGTATGAGCTGGAAGTCTCGCCCTTTGACGTCCACGCCACTGCTCGCGAACCTCTCAGGGAAGAACTCCTCTGCATTCTCAGCCCAAGCATTGGTGTCTCTCCCAAGGGCCCACGCATTCACGATGACCCTAGTCCTCTTTGCGATGTAATACCCACTGATCTCGATGTCCTCCGTGGACTCGTGCGGGATCAGGAGCGGGCCCGGCGGATATAGCCTGAAGCTCTCTTTCACCACCATGTCCAAATAATTCAGCTTTGGCAAATCTGACTCCTCAACGGTCCGGCCCAACCCGACAACAGCTTCGAGCTCTTTTTTTAGGTGTTTCATCATGCGTGGGTTGCGGATTAGCTCGGATAAGGCCCACTCAATCGCGGTGGACGAGGACTCGTACGATGCGGCGATCATGTCGAGGGCTATGGCCTTGACGTTGGTCCGACCCATTATGTGAACCTGCTCGTCTTGCGAGCTATTTATGGGATGGCCCATGCCGGCGAGCAATGTGTCTATAAAGTCACCCTTATATTTTCCGGTAGTATCTTCCTCGTGTTCTCTGATGATGTCCTCGAACACCTTATCCATGGCTCGATTAACAGCTTTTGCACGCCGAGTCATTCCCTAGTAAGGCAAAAAAATAAATCGATTCGAGAAAAGATGTAGTAGAAGCTCCAAATTTTTGTATCTATAAAGTTCTTTGCATTTTCTCAAAAACCGAGCCAAACACACCCTTCGTATCTATTGTTATAGAGAGTAGAAACTTTCCAAACTTATAAGCACGATGTGACAAGTGACAAATGACAAATGACAAAAGCAATGACTCAAGCATTGCTTCACATAATTCCAAATCACTGTACTATATGCAGCAAGCTAAAAATTCACTCTAATTGAATCACAAAATAAAGAAATAACTAATACCTGAAGATCGAGGGCTCCAAGAAGAGGCACATAGTCCGCCAAATTGAAAGCCCCGGCCAAGTTCAGAGCCTCGTGAATCACAGGCTTCAAGTTGAACTTATCCCTCGTGCTGCACCCCAATATCATCCTGCACGCCAAGTCCCCTATCAGCTGCCCCACCTCCGCGCTCACGTCCACCGCCTCACGCGCCGCTGCTGCCGCCCTCACCCTCACGACCATCCTCCCCAGCTCCTCCCTCCTCATCGGCGCAAACGACTCCACCTTCGCCGGGCTCAGCAGCTGCAGCATGCACAGCCTCCTCAGGCCCCGCCAGTACGCACCGCTCTCCGCGAAGGCCATCCCCTTGTTGCCGTATGACATATGGTGCAGGGCATTCACGCTCGGGCGGCTCGAGAAGATGCTGTCGTGGGTCTTGAGGACAAGCTTGGCCGCCTCCGGCGACGAGACCACCACCGTCGGCTTGTTGCCGAGGCGGAGGAACATGATGGGGCCGTAGGACTTGGCGAGGCTGTGGAGGCTACGGTGGGGGAGGTTGCCAAGCTGGTGGAGGTTCCCGATGACCGGCAGTGGGGGCGGACCTGGCGGCAGCTTGGGGGCATTCCGGCGGCGGAGGTGGTGGAAGAAGAAGTAGAGAGCTATTAAAAGAATGGTCGAGAGAAGGGCGAGTGGGGAAGTCTCCATTTGCAGGTTGAAGATGGTGGTGTCTTGCTTTGGTTGTGAGGCTGGCTGAGGATGGAGCGGAGATATGGAGAGTGATAAAATCGCCGTCTGGACAGCTACGACCTAGGAAGCACCGGTACGCTGGGAGGCGACACAAGCTCCGACACGCTCGGCCACTTGTTTATGAATGATGATAATTCGTCTCTTGAATTGCCAAATATTCCTGTCTTCCATTGTTCCTATCAAATCATTCCTAAGAATTAGAAATCAGCAAACAACAGAAAAATTAAATAGACCTAGTCCGATGAATCACGGCTATATTCACTATTTTGAACATCCAACCCATTTGTATTTTTAACGCCCGTATAACCATGGAAGATCGTTGCTACCTATAGATTCTACCCAGTTGCAATTAGAGATCAAGTAAACACAAACACTACGAGATTCCAACATGCATTTTGGGAGCTCAAATTACATAGAATACCGTATTATCCCTGAGTTTGAATACGAGACACTTGTTTTATTATATGAATTATATAAGCCAATCTTGATACAAATGGCATAACTCAATCATATTTTTGCTTGCATATGATATGAATGAGATCGGTTATACGTTTTCACATGCGACATGATGTGTGATGCGTAGGATGGGTTGCTAACGAGGAACAGAAGACTCGACCAATCGGAATCACGGTCCCTCCATCAGTTCCCGGAGGCATGATTCATTGATATCTCTCCCGGGCCAACCTTTGCAACAATTCATCCATCTTATTCTCAAATTCTAATCTTGTCCTCCCTTCAAAAGTTTTAGCAAACCTACTGAGGTAGCTGAATGATTGAGAGATTATTTTGTGTGCCTTTTATTTTAGTGTCGGGGCTTTGTTTGAATTTCTAGGACTTGAAATTGGACTTTCGTACTACATTGTAATATCAGATCTTGAAAAGTATAATATACTTTGTCATGTTATATCACGACAACCTTGAAATTGAGGAGAATTTTCCTTACAGCGAATTACAAGATAGATTAGAGAAGGCTAATTTGTTCTAGTCGTGATTCACGGGTCATGATGATAATTGCATGGTCAGTTGGCATCTCCTATTATACAGACCAAAAGGTCATAGATTGATGACCAACGAATACGATTATATAGGAAAAGACCCATTATTTTCTGGATTTCATGTTGCTCGATGATCCCATAGTAGTACAACCAACAAGAGCAAACGGTTCGATGTGAAAAAAAAATGATACTTCTATAGATAAAAAGGATAAGGAGAGGCAACCAACGCAACTACATTCTCTAGGCATTATCTAAGGGTGTCTTACTTGCCATGAAATATTTGGTTTGAATCATAACTAATTTGTCTATTCATAAATGTACTAACCTGTCATTAGAGCCCATCAACATGCCAAAAGCCAAAGCAATCGGCAGAATAGGAAAATGAGAAAGGAAAAACGTACTCCCTCGAAGCGCACGGATATGTATGACAAATAAGGCGGCAGTTTCGATTTGGAGCTACAAACTGGCAATGCTTGCCTCTTGTTGACGAAGCTCCATCTATTTTGTTCTTTGCCTTTTGCGGAGGGAAACTTCAGGTCCAGGTCTTACCAAAAAAAAAAAAAACTTCAGGTCCAGGATGAGTCCCCCGAACCCCAATGACGGCTCAAGATTGCCTCCGGCACCGGTCGTCGTCCCACCTCCCGTGGCATATGCCCCAGAAGCAAACGCTCAGCCGGTGTACGTCGGCCAACCCGGTCCACAGTCATACTTAGTAGTGCCAGTGCATTATGTTCCCAGCAATGCAGGCGTGTGGACCACCGGTCTTTTCGATTGTTTCGATGATATGACGAATTGTAGGTCTTTTTCATAAAAGTTCATAAGACTCCATCTTGCTGTCGCTGACATTGTGAAGATCTTTTATTAAGTTCGTGTTACACTTCAGAATACTTAATCTTTCTAAACATTGTTTGGATGAACATCTTCCTACCTTTTTACGGACAGGCTTGATCACCTGTTTCTGCCCGTGCATCACGTTCGGCCAGAACGCCGAGATCATAGACAGAGGAGGCACTTGTGAGTGAAAAACCTCGATAAAACGTCGTCTTTGCTAAGCTATATGATTAAGGGCTTAGTTTCTCGGGCTAATTTTAACTTTGGCTAACAAATATGCAGCTTGTGCCTGTGCCGGGCTTACGTGCTGCCTGATATTCCACTGTTTCGGCTGTACGTACTGGTACACATGCACTTACCGAACCAAGCTCCGAGGCCACCACTCGATCCCCGGCGGCGAGTGCGCAGACTGTTGTTTGCACTATTGGTGCGAGTTATGCGCAATTTGCCAAGAGTATCGGGAGCTAAAGAATCGTGGGTTTGATCCCTCTATCGGTAAGTTCTCACCGCAACAAAACTGCCTAAGGCCGCTAGAACAATTTAAGGAGAACCGCATTGTTCCTTAAAACTGTTTAAACTTAGTAAGTACTTGAATGCGTGCGTGCGTGCACGCGCATGTGTGAGCGATAGGTTACATGTTTACATATGTGATGCAATGCATAGGATGGGCCGCCAATGCCGAGCGAATGAGTCGGCCAGTCGGAGTCACAGTTCCTCCGTCAATTCCCGGTGGCATGGTGCGTTGACGTTTGTCTCGGCCAACCTTTGCAACAATTGATCCATTTTATTCCCACTTTTATCTCGTCTTCTCATTTCAATATGTTATGGGAAATTTGGATAGTAATGCAGTACTTGATCGATACTTGTGATGACGTTTCTCTCTTCTTATTCGCAATCGTTATCTTTGTACTCTTTCCAATGCGGTGTTGGGAAATTTGGACAGTTATCTGGTACTTGATCGACACTTGTGGTGATTTTCTCTCTTCTTTAATACATAGTAGACCATGTGATTGTAAGTAAAAAGTTATTGCATGTTTTATAAATCATGAATCGATATCATATGAATTGTTAATTTTGTGATTTCTATCGTGAGGCTCACATGACCAACGGTGCAAATGAATTTAATTTGCCTGGTTTATAAACCATCCGATATTTTGTTGTTGCATATACATATGTTATGCATGATGTGATTGGCTTTGGCGCACAAATATCAAATGGGTAGATCTAGTAATTCAAAACAGTATATGTGCTCGACTAGGCCTGCTTACATTCAAGTTTTCTAATGTAATTTTGGGGTATTCATTACTCAATCAGTGAACTTTTTTTGTAAGGTTAGTGTCCGGACATGCAACAGAAATCCAATCTTATCCAAAGATAATTTCTAAAGAGAGAATTCAAGTCCCTCACACCCCACAACAATTCTCCGGTGCTAGACTTCGCCTAACACTAGTCACATGTGCATCTCATTAGCTAAAAGGCCGGATTGAGCCATAGAGAGAACAGGCTAAATCATCGAGCTAGGTCTCAATTTTTGGCAAATCCAGTCGAGCTCGCTAATTTGTTAGAATGGGAGTGTCCAATATGCATTTTATTTTGGTTTTTGGGCTTTGTTTATTTGATGTTATACTTTTTTTTCTGTTTTTAGTGATAGGATTTTGTTAACAAGTGTCCCAAGCAACCAATTGAGGAAACTTTATAGTTTCCACGATAGAATTATTCCTAATAAAGTGCACTTAACGAGTGCCCTGTAGTGTGATATTAGCATCTCGGATATTAACAAACGCGATGTACTAATCCTTACACCTATCTCTTTTTCTTTCATTAATATTTGAATACCAGATTGAACATCCCACAACTCTTTAGTTTGATTGTGATTATTTTCCTAACAAAATACAGGCTTAGGTAATTTTCAGAACATCCCATAATTCTTTAAGATTGTAAAAAACGGAACAACTCCATCAAAATCAAGAGTTATTCCCTTTAACCCTACCCTTTCAATCAGTTTCTTATGCTTATAATTAAGATCTTTCCCAAACTCATTTAAGGGTCCATCTATTTCGCGGAAAATATACCCTCATTTAAGGGTCCATCTGTTTCGCGGAAAATATACCATTTCTGGATGGCTAAAACCTACAAAAGACCTAGAAAGTATTTACAATCATTTGGTAAGGAAAATCTGATTGGAAAAATTATCAAAAATTTCGTATTTTTTTATTACTTCTAATTTTTCTTTTTTTTCTTTTTCTTCTTCCGGCTACAGCAATGGGGCCGACGACCGGCCACAGGCAAGCTCCAGCCTTGCCTAATGTCGACGAGGCCGCAAGCTCGCTACTAGAGCTCGCTTGATCTGGCAAGGCTTGACCTCGCCGGCGACCGGTTGAGGAAGAAGTAAAAAAAAAGGAAGAAAAGAAAAAAAAATTGAAACAATTAAAAAAATTGATTAAAAAATTTGCTTTTTTAAAAATATAATTAAAAATTGAATTTTTAAAAATATTTTTTTTATAAGAACAAACATTTCATTAACCAAGGACCCAAGCCCAAGCACCAAGAATCCGTGTACGGCCTTTGTGGACCCAAGCCTGAGGGTCGAGACCAAAGCTCGATCGTCGGGGACCAAAGTACGGCCTTTATGAACCCGAGTTTGGGTGCCAAAGCATTGGATATGGGCACCAAGGGTTTGGGCCCGACCTCGATGGACCTGGGTGTAGGCGCCGGGGGCCTAGGCCTGGCTGCCGGAGACTTGGTCTCAGATGCTAGGACTTGAGAACCAACATTGGGGTTTTTATACCCAAGCGTAGAGTTTTGAGTCCAAACGCTGATAGCTAGTCATATTTCGAGAAACGTTTTCTATTCTTTCAAGGAGAAAATAATTTTCCTGAATTTAAGCTTTGGTAGAAAAATCTTTTCCGTTTACTAGGAAAATGTTTTCGGTTGACTCATTTTTCTAAGCAAACTAAATGACGGAAAATGAGAAAAATATTTCTTTGAAAATATTTTCTGCGAATCAAACGAACCCTAAGTTAAAAAGCAAAGCTATGCTGGGCCTAAGCCTAGTTAGGCTTCACAGATCACCCACTTCATCCCCTAACCTTTCTGTACGGATTTCGGCCCAAGATGGCGATTCCCACGAGCAATCAAACCATGCTTTGTTGACCCAAGATGTCTCTGTTGACAAAGAATTGCTTGGGAGGCATCAGGAATTTCGTCCCATTCATTCTTCATCTCTACTCCCAGGCACACCAATTAGTAATTAATACTCACAGTGATTTAAAGTTGGGATAACGATACAAATATTTCATGAACTTTTGTCCAATGTACAATATGATCCATGAACTTTTAATTTATTTAATGCGGTCTTTAAACTTTAACCTAATGTTCAATATGGTCTATAAACTTTTAATTTACTCAATATGGTCTCTTGACTCTTGGTACATATTCAATATAGTTCATATACTATATGAAAATGTTCAATATATAGTTTAGGAACTAAATTAAGCATGTATCAAAAGTTCAAGGGTTATATTGAACAAATTAAAAGTTTAGGGATCACATTGCACATTTAATTAAAGTTCATGGACCATATTGCACATTTAGCCAAAATTTCACGAACCATTTGTGCCATTTTCCCTTTTAAGTTAACCCTCTTTTTGCCGCAGAGATATTTTGCAGGAATGCTTAGAGAAATGCGAACTAAATTATGAAAAAATCAGAAAAAAAATTTTGACGGTTAAAAATATATTTTTTAAAATTTTTGGTAACTAAAAAAATCAAAGACTAGTTGGGACGTGGGAAAACCAATGGAGGAGCTGTTTCACGACTCAAACAAAACTTAGGAAGAAGAATGGCCTCAATTGAACTAGAAATGATTGGTAAAGTATCGACTCGGCCATGATCCCAATCCACTATCCATGCACTCGGGCATGACTCAAAGTGATTTGTCGTTAACCCTCCTTTTGCCTTTATTTCTTGGTCCCTCTAGGATGGACCGCCTTGATATGTTAAAGAAATTAGGCAAAATAATGACAAGAAATGCATTACGTTATCCTCGTGAATCGACAGTTCCTACGAGCAAATCCATGCTCTTTCTTTTCTGGTTTGACGAACCGCCGTTTAAATGTGAAGGACGGGAAAACGGCCACTGAATTTTTGCAAGAAACCATGGCGCGAATTATGGAGACTTGGTCCGAAGACTTCACATGGTCTATCCTTGCGTATGTAAGACCGTTGGACTTTACACCTCAAAAAAAACAGAAGAATCACAATTGAAGTTTGGATTCTACTCGGTGGTTAAGCGATCCTACTGGAGATTGATTGACAGCAACAGATTTTCGATCAATTTGTTAATAATGATCATAGATTATTTGTTCGATAATAAGTGTGATTGGTTCAATTCCCCGTTATCTAACTAGCATATTATCTGACCATTTAAAGAAGGATTAATTCTTCCACGCACTTGATGTTCATTGTGCCGCCAAGGCTATATATGCTACATGGAAGCTTTGGATTAAAAAATATATGTAAAAAATTATAGGGATAATAAAAAAGCAAGAGAAAGAAACAATCACATGGATTATGGACCCAACGACCCACCATTAGCAGTAATATGTGATTAAATAATGCCAGATTTGCTTCAAGATATTCGTCTTAATAATAAATTATCAGCACCTTGGGCTTTTTGATTTGATGTAAGAGGTACAACACATCAATGTTTTTACGCGTAAAGCTCTTTAAACTATAGTTGCACAGTCTGAACTCAATATATTTGTCCCCTTTCTATAAACCATAATTGGGTGCGAGAATCTCGTCTATTGAACCAATTAAATTAATCGGTGTTTCCTCTCAGGACATTTCCTTAAAACTATTGTCCCTATTGTCGGGTCAACTAGGGTGCGAATGGTAACTATTTCACTTCCAAATCAAATTCTTGCCGTAAATTGATTTCGAAATTCTTGCTGAAATTGATTTACGGAGAAGAAATCTGTTTGGTAAAACATGACTAATTGCTCAGTAAATTGATTTCGAAGTAAATCTTTTTGATTTGTTGATTTTTTTTCACCTAAAAAATTTAAATTTTACTCAAAGTGGGTGGCCAAGGTATTATAAGTCATTCAGTAAATTTTTGAATTTTTTGAATTTTTTAATTTTTTGGACACCTAAAAAATTTAAATTTCACTTAAAGTGGTGGCACGGTATTCTAAGCCATTTTGTGAAGTTTTGAATTTTTTTTTATTTTTTTTTTTAGGCACCTCAAAAAATTAAAATTTTACTCGAAGTGGGTGGTTCACAGTATTCTAAGCCATTTTGTAAAGTTTTGAAATTTTTAATTTTTTTTAATTTTTTTTTAATTTTTTTGGGCACCTCAAAAATTTAAATTTCACTCAAAGTGGGTGGCAAGGTATTTTAAGTTATTTTGTGAAGTTTTGAAAATTTTTATTTTATTTTTATTTTTATTTTTTTGGCACCTCAAAAATTTAAATTTCACTCAAAGTAGATGACCACATGTATTTTAAGTCATTCTGTGAAGTTTTGAAATTTTTGATTTTTTTTGGGCACCTCAAAAAAATTAAATTTCACTCAAAGTGGGTGGCCACATGTGTTTTAAGCTATTCCATGAAGTTTTGAAATTTTTGATTTTTTTTTTTTTTAAAAAAATTCACCAAATTTCATATTTTCCCGAAATCTGACTTTTTTTTATTTTCTGGAAATTTTTATGATTTTTCTAGAATTTTTCAATTTTTATGCATTT